GGGGGCCGGAGCCAATACCACTGCCAAGCCTTCCTGGGTAACCGTGATCGTGCGGGTCCACCCAGGGAGGGGGTCGCTATCCCTCATCCTCCCCTCCCTCCAATTAGGTACACTAGGCTCGCGCCTCACATACGCGAGCAGCTTTAGCACTAGGATAGTAGGTTCGCCTTATGGGGCCACCGGGAGACACACACACACACACACACACACACACACACACACACACACACACACATACACTCACATACATACAAACACAACTCTCCGGACGGATGAAAACGAGAACGACGCAGCCGGGACCAGGACTACGGGTAACAGGATTCGGGTGCGCTCCCTTCGTGAGGAGTATCCGAAAAAAGAAAAGAGGAACTCGGCACAATTCTATGCGCACGGCTAGGAATCAAATTCGCCGCACTAATAGAAGCAAAAGGACTCCTTCATAGTTCTTTGCGTAGAAGAAAAGGATGTCGATCTCATGTTATCGACTGAATCAATCGATACACTAAAAAGAGATGACTTCGAAATAGCTATCCCACCACAGCTTAGAGCTAAGAAATCAATTGTTATCAAGAGATTGGATAAGACCATTACCAACAAATCACCAATTGAAATATCACAAGAAATAGAACAGAAAAACACATGGGCTAAAGTGGAAGAGGTGGTACTGCTTCCCAGGACTCCAACGATGATGAAAGTGAGATTCATAGAAATCGCCATGGCCCAGAGGGCACTAAAAAATGGCATTTGCATCTCCCATTACCACCTTTCAAAAGACCAAATCGAAAAAGAAAATTTGTATCCTGTAACACTTTGCTGGATATGTTATAAATATAACCATGTATCAGCCAAGTGCCCTAATAAAGACAAAGTACTGCTCGGAATGTGGAGCTGAAGGGCACACATTCAGGGAGTGTAACGACAAAGAAAATTATAAATGTCTGAACTGCAAAGGACCTCACCGCACTCTGGCAGCACGATGCCCAGTAATGAAGGACACCATTAAAGACATGGAGGAAAAGGAAAAATCGAACAAACAAAGAAACTGACCCAAACAAAACCTATGCTGCAATATCCGTAACAAAGTTGCAAGACACCACCTCTAAAGTGTTAGAAAAAACAAAAGATAAAGCCAACGCAGAAAACACTTACCTGAAGCTAAGTGAAGGTCTACCCTTCACCATATTAGCCACACTGATACATGCCCACATATACAACGTGGCTAAACCGGGAACATTCGGAAGAACTGTCAGAGAAATGTTTGCAGCGAACAACCTACCACAGGTAAACTTCCCCGACGATGCCCCATCAGCAGACATTTTCAAAATAATAACCGAAAACAGTCTAGGAATCACCAGCAAAGAAAAGGAAAATAAAATAACACAGCAAGAAGATTGCACAGGAGAAGAGACTGCAATGGATACAACCCATTCCCAACTAACACAACACACTACGAGACCCTAGAGAACACAACTGACCAATCAGCGAAGTCAACACCAGCAAGACCACGTAGAGAGAACCCCACTGGTCAACGGCCAACCGACGCCGGAGAAAGCATAGGAAACAGGCTTTACTCAGTCAACTCCCAGTAACAAATGAAAGAAAGACAGTTAAAAGACATTCAAGAAGGAACAACCAAATACACATACGAAGACAACAGGGTGGAAGAGGGACTCGTTGAAACACTAATACGTGGAGGAAGAATAAGCACCAAACAATCATCACTCTATCAATATCACCAATACAAATCCCCTCCATCCCTAGATTCTCTTTCAACAGAGCAAACTGGGAGGGTTTTAAGTCAGAACTCGACACAAACGAACAAATATATCTACACAACAAAAACACAGCAGACATTGACATAGCCCTGGAAACATGGTACACTAATGTCACCACAGCCATGGAAAGCAACACCCCTAAAACAACTTACCGTACACTACCCCACTAGGGTGTGTCATACGGAGGCGAATTTTTTTTTTGAGTTTGAAAAATCGGCCCATGGTATTAATGATGTAGTTCTATGTGCAGAATCATGTGATATCTTCAGATTTGAAAAGTTTTCATTTTTTGCTAGGTAAATTTAACTTGAAATCTTATGAAAATTCAGTATTCCCACCCTTTTACCAACACCACTAAATAGCTTATTTAAAGTAAAGTAAATGTATCAGGTTAATTTATTAGGATGAAAATGATCCAGAATAGTGAAACGAATGATCTTGACACATTTATTAAATTTAATATTCCTTTAGAAAACAAAATCATCAAATACAAAAACCGGTTTTACTACTACGACCCGGTGTTGCTGCACACCATAGAGAACATGTCTTTCTTGCTTCTGTTTCTACTCATCACCTTCCTGCTGACCACCTGAGCTCGGATGTAGCCTTCCCTCCTCTCCTGGCTGTACACGTGACTGCTGGCCTCGCTCACTTGCTGTACACAACGCTCTGTACTCTGGGTGTGCGAGGGCCAGGCAGGGGCATGCATGGGGTTGTCCAGGAAAGCTCTGACTTGAACATTGGTGAGGCTGCAAGTAAGAGGGGGCTCACTGCCAGCCTGGATGTTATCCAGATCTATGAGATCAGTGAGGGTCTTGGCACCTAGATTGACTTCAGGAGTCTTCCTGACCCTGAAGGAATCGTCACCAACTGATTCGTCATGCCCAGATCCTCTCATAAGTCTCATATCCAAGATCTTTTTGACTGCCACTCTTCTCTCCTCCTCATCCTTACTGCAGAGCATTGTCTGCAGAACTGCCTCGGGATGAGCATACCAGGAAGATCTCCTCACAGTCTGCTCCACAATCTGAACAACCTTCCTTGGCTGACTCCTCAGGAGCTCAAGCTGGAAGAGAACATGCCTCGGACCTTCGGAGAACGGATGACTTGACCTTGGTGTTGAACCAATTTGGCAAGTAGACACTCACGATGAATTGGACAATAAGTCTCAGGTTGTGAAGCTGGTTCCCTTTCAGTTTATGATGAGCGACCCAAATTCTGCAGAACCTGAGAGCCGTTGTGAGCCACCTAGAATGTGAGACTGGACCTATCTGCAGGTAAGCAAGTCTATCAGGCATGACCCCAGTTTTGATGGCACTGCAAATCATGTAACCATAGTACTGGTCAGTACTCAGGTCGTCAATGACAGTATGTGCAAGCTCAACGAGTGGAGGGCCAACTGTGATTTTTCAAAGCTCGGATTTATTTCTAACTCAGTGGCAGAGTCCAGCATCTTGCCAAGAGGACCAGACCATCTGTTGTTTGAAAGAGTCTTGCCATCCAGCTCCTGGATCAGATGTCTGAGTGGCAACTCGTTGGTGTGGAGGTCACAAACAATCCAGACCAGCTTCCTCCCAATCTTCCGCTCTATCCACTGTATGACCCCCCCTTGCCACCCTGTGTTCGTGTTGGTGCTGTCCCCTCCAATGGCCTGCAGGGTCTGGTCTACGTTCCTCTCTCTGAGCCAGTTCACAATGTTATCTGCCACTATCTCAGCTGGTTTCCTGGTGTCATCTTTCTCTGGAGTGAAATGCCACAAATACTTCCCTCCTGGTTCACTGCAGCAGGAGTAGTGTTCCTCCTTCACCATGGCAGGGAACAACTTGTCAGAATCTCCAACTTTCATGAACACTTTAGTGTCATCCCTTCTCCCATCAAAGAACAAACAATTGATTCCATTTTCTCTTATCCCTTATCAAACTCCTCTTCTAGGTTACTGACAAGTTTCTCCTGAGCTCTCCTTACTTTGTTATGATCTATCACCAGGTGAACATCATCAGGTGTTATCAAACCACCGTCAATCCAGGCAGCTGTTGCTATCTCTGCAGTTTCTCTGAGACCAGTGTGGTGTCGCATGCTGGCCAGAGCTATGCTCGGGATATCTTTCCTATTTCGAATCTTATGCCTGGAAGGTTTGGGATCATTATTTTCTGGGTTAGGGACAAAGTCACCATTCTCCTGGTCAGCACTCGGATCAGCCATGGGGAAGTCATTAAACTCTGAATCAGCTTGACTCCAATCATCGGCCTTTTTTACCTCACCCTGGACCTTCTCAAGTCTCTTTTCCTCGGCAACTCTTCTCCTCTTCTGTCTCTCTGTGGCAGCCTCCTGTCTCTTGGACTCCGGAATATCTTGGCTAGAAATCATGAGAGCCCCTATACTGCCAGTCTTCTCTCTCTGTGCTTTGACAAATGCCAGTTCGATCACAGGAATCTTCAGTTCACGCTTGCAAATACAGGAGATGTGGGCCTCGGATTTACAGTCACGATCGCATCCAAACTCAGGACAGAGAACAATTGGGCACTTGCAGGTAATTATGTCAAATAACTGGTCCAGTTGCTTGGCAAAGCTGTCCTTAACTGCAAGTTTTCCTCTCCCAAGAGAGATATCTCTTGCCTTTTCCCAACTGGCTAGCAGTCTCTCACTAATCTTCTTCTGACTTGTTATGACTGGAGGCTTGAACTGAGCGTTAGCTAGAGTGTACTGTGCCAAGACAGCTTTGGTCATATCACTGGCAATGTCTTTGTTTGTGTAAGTTCTTTGGTTCTTTTCACTGATTTGCCTGATTAAAACACCGTATCTCAAAGCATCTCTCAATGTAGGCAACTCCGACTTCAGGAGCTCTCTCCCAGACCCAAGATAGTGACTGAGATGGCTGGATTTTTGGTTCCTCGTCCTGACACAAGCAGCCATCGCAAATATTATCAACTTATAAATGCATCAGAATCTGAAACAGAAAAAAATATTGTTAGTTGGGTTGTTAAAGAATGAAGTCAGAAAGCAATGTTCACTATTTAATTGTAATGCACAAATGCAGCTGTACGTTAGATTTTCGATAAATTTCACGCTAAAATTTACCTAGCAATAGGTTGCAAAATATTGAAACTGAAATTATTTTCTGTTTATATACACTAAAATCTACCAAAAAAGTGATGGGCCATTAGTTTTAGCTGATCTTCCCTCCTATGACACACCCTACTACCCCACGCACAATTAACACACGAACAGAAGATAATCCAGACAAGACTGAATAACTTACTAGAACATACAAATACACACGGATGGAACCAAGAAAGAATAACTCTTTTCAGAAACCTAAAGGAAGAGCTGAAAGAAATATGCAAACAATCACACAACGACAAATGGAACAAGCTAATCACAAACACAGAGGCCGATTATCACAATCCAAAACTTTTCTGGAGTAAAATAATGATGGTGACGGGAAGAGTCATGATGGTGACGTGAACAGTCATGATGGTGAAGTTAACAGCCATGACGGTGACGTGAACAGTCATGATGGTGACGTGAACAGCCATGATGGTGACGTACCAGCCCTGCTCACAGACAATTATACAACAATATTCTATTTACATAAGTTGAGGGTAACATGCCTAAAAAATATTTCACTATGACCAACACAATGCACCACTGTTCATTACGCCATGCATAACAGAATGATGAAGTGGACATAGTGATAGAGGATAAAAGACAATTATTAAAGGTCTAGATGATGATGGTGATAAGCAAGAGTCCCTGGAGTTTGACCAGTATTGTTACGTGCTGTACTATAGAGTATTTTAAGAGTTGTGAAACAGTGTTATAACGGGTTTAAGGCCAGACGCTCCAGCTTGACACAGCTGCTGGGGGTGTTGGATATGTGGACACAGATCACGGGGCGTGGTGACAATATTGACAATTATATAACTTGCTTTGTCAAAACAGTAGATTCAGTACCTCATGAGAGGTTGAAAATTAAACTGGAAGGGTGCGGTATTCAGGAAAATGTCTCGGTATGGATTCAAGATTCTTTATAATTGTAACCAGTTTGTGGTTATTAATGTCACCAAATCATTATTTGTACCCATGATAAGTGGAAGGCTTTCTGAACTATATTTTGCATGTCAGGAAGCATGATCTTCCTGGGGTCACTGCCAGGGTTCCTGTTGGCGGGGTGGTCTCTACTGGTGTCTGCGCTGCCCGGTGCCCTCGGCAGTATATTAGTCGGCTTCGCCCTCAACCCGCCCATGCTGCTGGTTGGCAGGTGAGTGATGATCGCTTATATCTACAGGTAATAAACTGGCCCACAAAACCAGTTGAACTTCAAACATTTATGAATTGACACAAGGCGGCACAAGGTGAGATGTTAGCTGCGTTATCAGCTCTATGAAAACCTTCTCTCTCCTCCTCTGGTGTCTCATGCCACTGACTCAGGCTTCCCAAACAGTTGATGACCAAACTTTGATTATTCTTAATATCACAGAATCTTGCTCCTGAAAGTCTTATAACTTAACCCTTGTGTTACGAGTTGGGGATTTAGAAACTGGTTTAGAATATAGTTAAAAGTCTACCCAGATCCCAACAGGCAACAACAATAAAAATACTAAAAAACAAAGACAATCGGACTATAAAAGGGTAGACAAAGGATGCGAGTTTTTGTTGTGTATAATAAAGTACAATAAATTCCTTAATAAACTATCTAACTTTCTATAATTTACCCTTAACCATACTTAACTTAAACATACGCAACATTGGCTTAACAGTATATACATATTTATACAACATACAACAATCTGAAGCAAGTGGAGGTGGGAGGTAATATAGGGTTACAAATACTCAAGTGCGGTGCTGAAGTGTCTGACGAGTAGGGCTGAGTATTGAAGAAGATGGTAGGTAGTCACTGTGCCGTAGGTTTCCAGGATAGGTAATCCAAGTATGGTCACTTCCCAGAGTGAACTGAACTCTCCTCGATCCGGAGCTGATGAGGAAGAGTTGGAGGAGGTGACGCAACAACCAGGATATAGAGAAAGGAAACCCGGAGTGGTGACTAGTCATACTCGGGTTTCGTCCCTAGATGGCGTTGCTCGGTAGTGCTGGGTAGTTAGATCATGACACAATAGATGGCGTGGTTTGTAATACTTGGCACTAGGCACATAGGCATTATGACTCTCCAAATTTTTTCTTTTGATATCAGTGATGAGTTGTGCCTCACGGATGTAGTCATTTTACTGTACTGTACTAATATTGCATCACGTCTCTCACTGTGGATGGCCGTAGTTTTGTTAATCACTTTACTAAAGAAAACAGAAATCTGGACAACAACACTGTGGTGTGAGTTAAGTCCTGGTGTTGAGTTATTCTGAGAGTATTTATGCACAAAGGGAGTCAGTGGTTGAGGTCGGCTTAAGTGACCGTCCTTTAAGTGTACCTAAAGAGACAGTACATAGAAGAGGAGATACAATTCCATCGTGTGTCTGATAAGCGCCAGAAAGCATGATGTTCCAAACCTAATACGAGGGAACCTTCATCAACATGAGACCTCCATCGTCTTGATCACAAAAGAATAGACTAATTATTTATATTTTAATTATAAAGTGGTCCCTCGGTTAATGAACACAATTCGTCCCATAGAGTCGTTCGTTAACCGAAAATTTCGTGAACCGAATCCAATGTTTCAATGGGATATTGAGTAATTGGTTCCAGCTCACAGAAAAGTACATACAAAGCAAAAAAAAATGCAGTAAAGTACACTTACTTTAAGGTGTGTATGTAGAAGGTTCCTGGTTGATAATGTTGATGGGAATTAGAATTGGGGGTGGAAGAGAAGGGAGAAGAGAAGGAAGTGGGGATGGAGGAGAAATCACCTTTCAGGGGACCCATGCTTGATGCAATAATTTCACCAATAAAATTTTAAGTTCACTAGGTGTAATTCAAGATAATTATATTTAAATCAACACTGCACTGCTCTATATATTATCAAGATGTTACCTAAATTTCAGACTGACCAATAATTTTAATGTAAAATTGAAAATATATTCAAGACACCAATAAAATCGATGTTCACTCCACTGTAAGCAAAGCCAAACTGAGGCCTGGTGGGTGAGTCAAGCGGCTGATGGGTGCACAAGAACTAGTTCCCTGTACTGCATATATTATCAATATGTTAACAAAATTTTAAAATTACTAATAATTTTAATATAAAAAGTGCAAAAATATTAAAGAGCACAACTTTCTTGATATTTACTCCACTGGAAACGAATGTAAACAAAGAACAGATTACTGAATTGGCAGACTAGCCTATCAGCTGATCCTCACAGCAAAATGTGTTTGTCGTAAGGATTTCCTTAATCAAAGTTTTGCTCGTTAACCGAATTGAAGAGCCTTATGGGAGGTAATTTGTTAACCGAAATTTCGTTAATCGAACAGTTCGTTAACCGAGGGACCACCTTTACCTAGGCTTCATTGTTCATATAACTGACCAAGGGTAGTATAGCATCTGGAAGAGAACAAAAGAATATTCTAGTAAGTGAAGGGAACAATCAAGATTACTAATATAATATAACCCCCAAAACAAAACCCAATGAGAAGAAGCATAACATATGTACATACACACATAACAAGATAGAAGAGATGGGTTCAAGTGTACAAGTGGAGTACAACTTTATTACATAATAAATAATTCAATAATTCCCTATAACTATCCACACCAAAGAGTAGACCTCGTATTTATATAGCCACAATGAACGGTTTAAGACATTCAAAGAATTATTTTTCTTCAAAATAAGCTTTATATTTCAGATTCTTAGAAGGCATCACATTCGGTATGCTGATAGTAGCTGTGAAGACATATGCATCAGAAATAGTTGACACAAACATCAGGGGCATAGCCATGGGTCTACCCATCGTCCTGATGAATATGGGTAGTGTCGCAATCGTTGGTTTGGGCATCAAGTTGAGTTGGTACTATGTTGTGTTCGTCAGTTTTGTAGTCGCACTACTACATTGCTTTCTTGTAGCTGTGTTTCTTGTTGAGAGTCCCACTTACTTGACCGTAAAGAACAGAGAAGCTGAAGCCACCGTCATCCTCCGCCGCCTCACAGGTTCCAACGCGGATATTAAGGAAGAGTTGAGAATTCTGAAGATGATGAGACAGCGAGAAGATGGAACATCAGGATGGGGAGCTCTGATCAAGCGGGACGTCATAAAGAATATCCTGGTGATGTTTGGTCTCTTCATGATGTACAACTTCAGTGGTGTTCAGGTCATGAAGATAAACACAGTGAGAATACACCAATTTTACTGCTGGCGCAAAGGTTTGCGTCAAACTGTCACTTTCAATGTCTTCAACTTTGCTGTTGATAGCAGGTAACGGCAAACCATATTATCTGTTGGACCGTATAGAACCTTGCCGTATGGTGCTCCTCATTGACGCCTCGTTGGCCAACTCCTGCTTTTGCCAGCATCGTGTTTCTGTTTGACTCGGGAGGTGCGCCTGCCAAGATAAATTGGCTCTGGAACTTCTTTCTCTAAGTCAACCCCAGCTATGATATGCAGGTGATGCTGGTTGGGTTACTGTTGTCGCCAGGTGTGACGAAGAGCATGAATAAGAGAAAGTTCTTCAATATATGTGGCTCGCGAGATCCATATGTCTCCGGGTCAGCGTCGTGCGTGGGGGAATTACCTTCGATGTGTGTTCTGGTGATGTGACAGTATTGGGCGCTGGGCCACATCCTTGGATTTTGACTCCTGATACTTCCCTGCTGTCATCAGGTCACCGGGTCGGTGCTGGTCCTAAACATGTTGTTTTAATTACAGTATTGTTAAAGATAATTTCTCCGCAATGATTAGTTTGGAATGACGATCTCCCACATCAGTTGTGGTTTAAAACTTTTCTCTCACGTCAGACACAGTCCCCAACCAGTGACTGTGTCTAGCTTTAGGATTTGGTACTTGATTCAGGTCGCTTAATTATAACTCTATCAGCAATGCAGGGGATGAGAATCAATATTTACCTTCAGTCTGCAGAAATGGAAAGATATGTTTCTTACTTCATTGCCAAAAAAAACTTTCATTTTACTTGCTTGAAATTCTGTATTACTAAAAATTTGTTCTTATGTTTCATTGTGGAGTGAACTAATACTGGCCTTTCATATTGTGGCTGACCTAACTTATTTTCTGATCATATTTAACAGTGGAGAAAGAACAAATTCAATTATCTTGTTCTCTGCCCACAGCCTGCAAGTGGCCAATGCCTCTGCTGGCGGCCTGCAGAGATGTTGCTGCCTACAGTTGTACAGCCCCATGCAGGCTAGTCTTGTCCAAGCTGCCTTTTACTGGACACCAACAGAAGGCCAGCAGCCTTGAATATCTTACTCTCTCTTGTTCGTGAAAGGAGACAGCTGGTAGGAGGGTTATTAATAAAGACAATAACATTGCATATAGCGGGCTGTCTGACCCCTTACAATATATACAGTCTGATCAATGATCTGTATGAATTATTAAGACAGAAGCAGTCTGGTTATAAATGATGCCCAGTCTGGTCAATCGCATTGTTATCAATCACAAGAATGTAAGCAAATCACCGTTACATTTCCACTGTATTTAAAGTCAACTGATTATTATTTTGTATGTTAAAGGCCTTGGTTGTAATTAGTGTCATAATTTAGGTATTGTTTGCCTAAAATATAATTTTCTGTATGGTATGTTTTACTTCCCCACAAATAGGTGATCATAGGTCATATTATATTATTATTATATTTAAAGAGTACATCTGCATGTGTTGGTTGTTGAAATGATGAACTACTCTAACAATTATGAATTAAGTTGTTTTAGTTCTATACTTATATTGAGGACGCTGGAATTGAGCCGGCAAAAAACAGGTGTATCGTTGTGAGATAATATTTGGAATCCCAGATTGTAAGGCCATTCCTTACCCCTTGACACTACACTACACAGTACATGCCCTCCTTACAGGCCTATACAGTATGCTTACCCCTTTTCACTGCACAGATCACTTGCTTCATTGACCTCTGCACTACCCCCAGAAAATGCCTCCTTACCCCCATGACACTACACTATACAGTACATACCCCTCCTTACCTTGAAACTCACTTCACACTATGCATTACAGTACCTTTACTCTACTTACATCGACTTTCCTCACTATCCAATACATGCCTCCCCTTGACACTACACTACACTATACAGTACATGCCTCCTCGTCACTACATTACAGTGTACCTTGCCTCCTTACCCTTATTCTACTACACTATATGTACATGCCCCTCCTTACCCCTTGACACTGCACTACCTGCTACAGTACATGCCTCCTCATCCCTTGCACTATACAGTACATGCCTCCTTACCCATGACACTACACTACACCACTCTACTAAATAACACAGTACATGCCTCCTTACCTTGACACTACACTACACTATGAGCATAACTACTTGACCACACACTATCCAACGTGCCATTACCACACTACACACACTACAGTACATGCCTCCTCATCCCATGACACTACATTACACAGTACACGTCTCATACCCCTTGACCCTACACTACACTATACAGTACATCTCCTTACCCCTTGACACTACACTACACTATACAGTATATCATCCCCATGACACTACACTATACAGTACATGCCTCTACCCCGACCTCCACCTACACCTATACATACAGTACATGCCTCCTTTTGCTACACTACACTATCCAGTACATGCCTCCTTACCCCTTGACACTACACTACACTATACAGTACATGCCTCCTCATCCCATGACACACCATTACAGTACATGCCTCATACCCCTTGACCCTACACTACACTATACAGTATGCCTCCTTACCCCACACTACACTACACTATACAGTACATGCCTCCTCATCCCATGACACTACACTATACAGTACATGCCTCCTTACCCCATGACACTACACTACACTACACTAAATAACACAGTACATGCCTCCTTACCCCTTGACACTACACTACACTATAGAGAACATGCCTCCTTACCCCTTGACCATACACTACACTATACAGTACATCTCATACCCTTGTTTGCTACACTACACTATACAGTTCATGCCTCCTTACCCCTTGACCATACACTACACTACATGCTTCCTTATCCATGGCACAACATTACACTGAACATGCCTCCTTACCCTTTGACAATACACTACACTATACAGTACATGCCTCCTTGCCCTTGACACTACACTACACTATACAGTACATGCCTCCTTACCCCATGACACACTACACTACACAGTTCATGCCTCCTTACCCCTTGACCATACACTACACCATACAGTACATGCCTCCTTATCCCATGACACTACACTACATGTACCTGCCTCCTACCCCTTGACCCTACACACTACACCATGTGCCTCCTTGCCCCCTTGACACTACACTACAGTCCATGCCTCCTTTCCCATGCCACTACACTACACTACACAGTACATGCCTCCTTACCCCATGACAATACACTATACAGTACATGCCTCCTTACCCCTTGACAATAGACTACACTATACAGTACATGCCTCCTTACCCCTTGACCCTACACTACACTATACAGTACATGCTTCTTAATCCATGACACTACACTACACTACACTATACATGCCTCCTTACCTTGACTCTACAATACACTATACAGTACATGCCTCCTTATCCCATGACCCTACACTACACTATACAATGCATGCCTCCTTACCCCATGACACTACACTATACAGTACATGCCTCCTTACCCCTTGACACACACTACACTATACAGTACAGTACATGCCTCCTTACCCCCTTGACACTACACTACCCAATGCCTCCTTACCCCTTGACACTACACTACACTATACAGTACATGCCTCCTCATCCCATGACACTACATTACACAGTACATGCCTCCTTCCCCTTGACCCTACATTTACACTATACAGTACATGCTTATCGCCCCTTGACACTACACTATACAGTACATGCCTCCTCATCCCATGACACTACACTATACAGTACATATCTCCTTACCCCATGACACTACACTACACTACACTAAACAACACAGTACATGCCTCCTTACCCCTTGACACTACACTACACTATACAGCACATGCCTCCTTATCCTTTGACCCTACACTACACTATACAGTACATGCCTTCTTACCTCTTGACCCTACACTACACTATACATGCTTCCTTATCCCATGACACAACATTACACAGTGCATGCCTCCTTACCCTTTGACATTACACTACACTATACAGTACATGCCTCCTTACCCCTTGACCCTACACTACACTATACAGTACATGCCTCCTTGCCCCTTGACACTACACTACACTACAGTACATGCCTCCTTGCATGACACTACACTACTACAATACACAGTTGATGCCTCCTTACCCCTTGACCCTATACTACACTATACAGTACATGCCTCTTATCCCATGACAATACACTACACATATGCCTCCTTCACCCTGACCCTACACTACACTACCATTGCCTCCTTGACACTCACACCTACAAGTACATGCCTCCTTACCCCATGACACTACACTACACTACACAGTTCATGCCCTCCTTACCCCATGCCACTACACTACACTACACAGTACATGCCTCCTTACCCCATGACACTACACTATACAGTACATGCCTCCTTACCCCTTGACAATAGACTACACTATACAGGACATGCCTCCTTACCCTTGACCCTACACTCACACTATACAGTACATGCCTTCTTATCCCATGACACTACACTCACACTACACTATACAGCACATGCCTCCCTTACCCTTGACTCTACACATACAGTACATGCCACCTTATCCCCTACACTACTATACAGTACATGCCTCTTACCTCTTGACACTACACTACACTATACAGTACATACCTCCTTACCCCTTGACACTACACTATACAGTACATGCCTCTTCCCTTCCCATCACACTACACTATATACACTACATACCTTCTTATCATGACCTCACACTACACTACACTATACAGTACATGCCTCCTTACCCCTTGACTCTACACTACACTATGCAGTACATGCCTCCTTTTCCCCATGACCCTACACTATACAGTACATGCCTCCTTACCCCTTGACACTACACTACACTATACAGTACATGCCCTACTTACCCCTTGACACTGCACTATACAGTACATGCCTCCTTACCCCTTGACACTACACTACACAGTACATGCCTCCTTACCCCATGACATTATACTACACTATATAGTACATGCCTCCTTACCCAATGACAATACTACACTACACAGTACATGCCTCCTTACCCCTTGACACTACACTATACAGTACATGCCTCTTACCCCTTGACAATGAACCACTACAGTCATGCCTCCTTACCCCGACCCTACACTACACTATAGAGTACATGCTCCTTACCTCTTGACCCTACACTACACTATACAGTATATGCCTCCTTATCCCATGACACTACACTATACAGTTCATGCCTCCTTACCCCATGACACTACACTACACTACACAGTTGCCTCCTTACCCCATGACACTACACTATACAGTACATGCCTCCTTACCCCTTTAACACTACACTACACTATACAGTACATGCCTCCTTATCCCATGACACTACATTACACAGTACTTGCCTCCTTTCCCCTTGACCACCACTACACTATACAGTACATGCCTCCTTACCCCTTGACACTGCACTACACTATACAGTACATGCCTCCTTATCCCATGACACTACACTATACAGTACATGCCTCTTTACCCCATGACACTACACTACACTACACTACACAGTACATGCCTCCTACCCCTTGACTCTACTTACACTATACAGCACATGCCTCCTTACCCCTTGACCCTACACTACACTATACAGTACATGCCTTCCTCTTGACCCTACACTACATTATACATGCCTCCTTATCCATGACACTACATTACAGTGCATGCCTCCTTACCCTTGACCCTACACTACACTATACAGTACATGCCTTCTTACCTCTTGACCCTACACTACATTACATGCCTCCTTATCCCATGACACTACATTACACAGTGCATGCCTCCTTACCCTTGACACTACACTACACAGTACATGCCTCCTTACCCCATGACATTACACACACTATACAATACATGGCTCCTTACCTTGACCCTCACACACTACATTATACTGTACATCTCTTATCCCATGACACTACACTCCATACATCCCCTTACCCATTACACTAAACTACACAGTACATGCCTCATACCCCTTGACACTACACTATACAGCACATGCCTCCTTCCCCTTGACCCTACACTACACTATACAGTACATGCC